CAGACTTCCCTGAGTGCCAGATGTCACTGTTTCTAACCCAACAATCAACCAGTGCTCGCCAAGGACCGAGAAAGCGGTCTGCAATTGGAAGTCCCAGCTAGGACACGTGCAGCGTATTTAGAATGGCTGTGTCACTGGGACATGTGCACTTTCCCGGTTCACATTTGTTTTTCTAAGAGATAAAGACTGCACAGCTGAGTTTTGGCCTAAGTCTAGCAAGTGTGGGGGTTTGCTTCACAAGTAGGAGATTTCACCATGACTGTGTCTGCCTCCCTAGATGCCAATTAAGTCATAAGCTGTCCTTGAGATGGTATCAAATATGCAATTAAGTGTGCAGTGTAGGGTTACTTTTGTAAATACTTGCAGATTATCTCACTATTTATTTTAAATTGCAGTATATGGTTGCAGGGTGTTTAATATGCAAGATAGTAACCTATTCCCAGGGACCAAGGGGGAAGGGCCCATCTCAGAACTGCCGCCCTCAAGCGGAAAATGAGGGTGCCTTTCAAAGAAAATAAAAACAATGAAAGGAGTGGCAATAAGCTACACTGCAATCCCAGAGGTACGTGGTTCGAATCCACCAGATGCTCTGCTGGAGAAGGAGGGGTAATCAATCTCCTCCTGTACCAGTCAGATCTGATTTGATGGTACAGACACAAAAGCAATGAAAGGAGGGCTGATATTTAGCTAAGCAGGAATTTGAGTGGTATGTCCTGCACTGAAGCTTGAATTTGCTAAAACCTCAGAGCCTTTGGAGAGCTTTTTAGATCCTGGTCCTTCAGTTATAACAAAAGGCAAATGACAGAGCTTGGATGGGGAAAGAGAGGGCATAAGGATGATATTTGTATGAACTTTCAAGCGCCATCGAACATCTCAGGGGCTCCACCTTAGATATGCCATTTAAACAGACAAATAGAACCATATGTTGAAATGTGTTGTTGGACTTTAAATGTAAATATCAAAACCACATGGTTTTCCCTTATCCTACTTTCTCATGAATCACTGGGGTTTGATATCATCTAGTGCACTGGTCTTCCTCGTATAGTTTTCTGTAGGACAGCTTTGAGTAATGCAGTAAGTAAAAACCGTAAAATTTTAATGAATACTCTATTTAGACTGCTTTTCTTTGGGTTATTAGATGCTTGGGTTTTCTTAAACCATGGAAAATGAGGCAGGGCTTAAATTTCATGGATTCCAAAGGTAGATCTTCTGTCACTGTTCCAATCATCATAAATGCTGTAACTTGGTTGGAAATGTTGAGAACTGATGTATACTGAGGAAGCACTGCATGTTGCTACTATATATCATTCATATCAGAGAATGAAAAAAGCATATACACATCTCACGTAAATATGTCACATACACATATATCGTTGTTGTGGAGACCTGTCCAGTTGACCACAACTCATAACGACCCTGTGAACAACAAATCCAAACTTTGCCTTATTCTGTGCCATCCTCTCAAGCTCTCTCCCAATCCTTAAGCCCATTGCTGCAGTCACCATGCCAGTTCATCTCATTGAGAATCTTCCCGTCTTTCATGAATCCTCTTCTTTCCCGAGGACTGCCCTCACCCCGTGACAACATAGACCAAAGTATGCTCACCAGGTGTCACCGACCTTGCCTCTACGGAACATCCGGGTCACACATACCTCAGGACAGATTTTGTTCTTTTGAAAGTCAGGGCTATCCAATACTCTGCCAGCACCCCAAGTCAAGGGCATCAGTTCTTCTTCAGTCTTTCTTATTTATTGTCCAGATTTCACATACATCTGAAGCAATTAAAAATAATGGCTTGAGTCAGACACACCTGAGTCTTTAAAATGACATCCTTACTCGTTAGCCCTTTAAAGAGGTCGTTGACAGCAGAGTTGCCCAGTGCAACCTGTGTGTTGATTTCTAGACTGTCGCTACCATGGGTATTGATTGTGGATCCAAGGAAAGTGAAACCCTTTACAGTGTCGGTCTTTTCTCCATCTATAATGATGTTGCCTAACGGTCCAGGTGTGAGGAGTTTTGTTTTTTTTATGTTAAGGTCTAATTCATATTGAAGGCTGTATACTCTTAGATCTTCACTACGAGTTTTAAATCTTCACTACTTTCTACAACATATGTATGGTTGTTATTTTTGTTGTTGTTACATGCCATCCAGTTGACTGAGCAATAGCCTATGAACAATAATCCTGACCCCTGCCCGATCCAGGGCTGATCTCACTGTCACTGACACACCTACCCCAAATTACCCCAGTTACTGTGTCAATTCATCTCATCCAGGGTCTTCCTCTCTTGCGCTTTCCCTCTACTTTTCCAAGCATGATGTCCTTCTCCAAGGACTGGTTCCTCCTGGCAATATGCCCAAAATATATGAGATGGGGCTTCAAAATCCTTGTCTCCAAGGAGCAGCTTGGTTACACTCTCTCCAGGACAAATCTGTTTGTTCTCTTGGCAGTTCAAGACTCTTCTGCAGCACAACTCAGAGGCATTGATTCTTCTTCTGCCATCCTTAGTCATTGTCCAGCTCATATGTAAACACACATATAAACCCGTTACCATAGAATCCGTTCTGACTTAGCTACCCTCAGCAGGTTCCCAAGACTATGAATCTTTACAGACTGCTCATTTTTCTCCCAAGGAGCAGCTGGTGGATTCAAATCACCGACCTTTCAGTTAGTAGTGCAACATATAACACATTATACTGCTGGAGCTCCTTGTGCACGTGCACGCGCGCGCGCGCGCACACACACACACACACACACACACACTGTTAAGTGCTTTCAAGTCAGCTCTGACTCCACACCCCCACGTGCCATAGAACAAAACCCTGCCCAATCCTACATCATTCTTACAGTCTCTTCTGTGCTGAAACCCACTTATCTACCTACCTGTACTTAGTGTCAGCTGCTGTTCTCAAGTCAACTCCATACACAATGGAACGGAACCCTGTCAATCCTCGTGTGTCCCCATAATTGGGTGCATAATCAGACCATTGCCTGCATATAAAATTTATAAAGTTGAAACTTTTTGAAACTGTGCTGTAAAGTCTATATTATGTGCTGCCTTAAACCTCGTAAACTTGAGCAAGCCTCTGACAATCTAACCACTTCCCTGCTTTACCCCTGCAGACAGGTCTCTAGCCGAACCACCTCCTTTTCCAGATGGACCAAACACACCTCTCGCTTGCTTGTTCTTGGCTGAATTTTAGACGTAGATCACCAGGCTTTCCTTATTAGTTCCTATTAGTCTCAAAGTTGCAGTGAAGCCTCCTGACCATCATAGCAACACACATGCCTCCCCTGACAGGCAGAGGCTACAGATAGGGGTTATTGGCTTGGAACCAAACTCCAATTTCGTCCATGAAAGATGAGAATGTGTGTGTGTGTGTGTGTGTGTGTGTGTGTGTGTGTTTCATTTCTAACAATGTATTTTGAAGAATGATTCAAACTAATCTATATTGGCAAGACAATTACAAGCAAATGTGAGTTTTGGAATAACAAAATTGGAAAATCCACCTGAACTCTTTCTAGGTTTTCCAAGAGCGTCTCCAGAACCACTTTGTATGACGGGCAGTGCCTTAAACCTTTCTGATGTAAAGCATCCACCACAGCTGGGTCACATGTGAGACATGAGGGGCTGAGGCAACACGGCACTCCCCTGTTGGGTTTCAGGGTTTACTCTTACTGAACGTGGCTTTTATCAGCTGCATAAATTTTAATAGATGTTATATAACATTTAAGGAGCCTTGGTGGTTCAGCACTGTGTGAAAAGTCAGTTATTTGAAGGAGGCCTTTGAATTAAGTTCATTGCAGCTCAATGCACTGATGCATTTCCAAATCAGATAAATTGAGAAGGAAGCGCCAGTTTAACAAGCTCCCTGGTGGTTCTTACAGAGGCCCAGCTGATTTTCAGGTGATGTTTATGAGTCTTAACGTGCACATGAAACCTGTAAGGCTCACCTTACATATATATTAGAACTCCATATCTGTAAGAATGTTTCTTATTATCACCTGGGGATCTTTTTAAACTGAGAATTCTAACATAATATATTTTGGGTGTTGTATGCTGCAGAGAATCTCTAGTGGCCTAGTAGGTAAGGAGTCATTTTGTCAACCCAAAGGCATGTAGTTCAAATCCACCAGCTGCTCCTCAGGAGAAAGACAGTTCTCTTGTGCGATTTACGGCCTTGGAAAACTTACTGGAGGGTCAGTTATGAGTTGATTTCAACTTGAAGGTGATGAAGTGAGTTGAGATATTTGGGGTGGAAATGTCAGTTTCAGCAAGAGTCAAACCTGAATAAACCAGTTCAAAGCTGAGGGTCAAACCTCCCAGTGGACTTTGAAGTATCAGGAGATGGAAGTCCTGTAGTTTCTTGAAGAAGGATGTGATTGTCTCGTCTGAACAGTGCTGTGGGCCAGCAGGGAACTGAAGCCCACTCCCCAGAGGAGCAGGAGGTGTGCTTGGTCCATTAGGAAAAGGTGGTGATTTTGCTAGAGACCTTGTCTGCAGGGGTGAAGTAGGGAAGTGTACCTGTGGTTGGCGGCTGTCAGGAGCTTGCTCAATTTTACTAGTTTTAAGATGACACATAATATAGACCTTACATCACAGTTTCAAAAAGTTTCCACAATTTCAATTTTATAAATTCTATATCCAGAAGGCCCTTCTGGATTAGAAGACACGTTTATTGTATTGCTATATTGGTGAGAGGGAGAAGGAGAGGGAGAGATGAGAGTAAGAGATGAAAGAGAGATATTGGTGGTATATATAGACATAATATAGATAGATATAGATATTGATTTATTGGTGGTATTGATAATTTGGTTTTTCCTTTCAATCTCAGACTGACTTAAAATTCCTTCACTTAAAAACTGAGACCTCAGTGAATTTTTCCAGGCACAACTTCTTCCAGAAGCAACAATTTAAAAAATAATTATATATTTAACCTAATATTTTTAAAATTTTTAAAACATTCTAAGAATATTTTGTTTTGTTTGTTTGCCCCTTAGGAAAAAGTGCTGCAAAGGGTATAAATTTGTTCTCGGACAGTGCATCCCAGAAGGTAGGTGATACGAAATTGATGACTTCCCACTAACTCCCCATTGATCCCTAGGCATCGGCAAAACTCAGCTGTACGTGGGGTGTTGTGAGCTGTCTGCATCTGATTGGCTGCGTTCGTGTGTATGTGTGCAGTTTCTTTTTACATGAAAGCCTTTTAATACTCACTTGGTCACGTGTCACGCACACAGTGCTTGCACACACACTGAATCGCTCTCACATTGTAGGCTGCAGGCTCCATCAGCAGTGATGTCCTAATGGACATTCCACACAGGAAGCCTTGCTTCGTGACCTCTACCTGATGCTTCTTGTCTGAACTTGAATTCCCTTCTCCCGTTATGAGCTCGCCCTGACCAGGTGCCTCTCCCAGGATTGGTGGAACAGAGACACATGACATGACCCAGCCCTCAAGGGGCGGGGCAAGTGGGGAACAAACAACTCGGATGATGGGTTGTCCATAGACTTGGATTATGGTCACGCTGCATCCCCTACAAGTGATGGCCTTGGCCAAGCTACTGTTGAAACTCTAGTTTTTTAGGTTTATTTTTTGCAGGAAAATGTTGCTCTTTGAGTCATACAGTTGTTGTTTATTGTGGGGGTTTTTTTTACCTTATATTACTATTTATTTTAATCCTGACCATCAACTCTAAAACATTTCTGAACATCAGGTGCACACCAGCATAACCATTGTAAGCAGACATTTTCTTTTCTTTTATTTTTTATTTTATTTTATTTTATCTGTGAACATTCTCATGAAATGAAAGAAATGAGGACTAGCAAAGAGACACAAAAATTGATAATTTAAGACTGTTACGTGTACTTGGAATGGAGTTAGCTCTTATTAAACCCCAAACCCAAACTCATTGCCATTACACCAATTCCAACTCATAGTGGCCCTAGTGATCTGTAGAACAGAAGGGAATTTGTCCATAGAGTTTCCTAGTGCCAAAGTGAGTTACCTGTTGGGATACTAACCAGAAGGCTGGTGGTTAAGGTCCACTGGAAGCTTCTCTGAAGGGAAGAAACAGCCCCCTCCCACATTAATAACCTGGGAAATCGGATGGAAGGTCACGGTGAGGTGGAATCACCAAATGGGTGACCTTCTCGGAAGCCGACCACCACATCCTTCTGCAGAGCTGTGGGTGGGTTCAAACTGCCAACCTTTGAGTTAGCGGCTGTGTCCTTTGGCCACTGTGCTGCCAGGACTCCTCGGCTTTCTTTTATTAAGTGCTCAGTAAGTGATGGGTTCTTCCTTGCTCTGCCTCTCGTCATACTAGAACTTCAGCGTGTGCTCTAGATGCATTTAATGCAGCACATATGCAGAGGGGCACTGAGCCCAGAGGACCAGGACAACAGGGGTGGTCTTAGAAGCAAGGGTCAGCCCAGGACTTCCCAAATAGGAGGAGAAGTCATGTGACAGAATCTCAGTGGAGCACTGGCCCAGAAAATCATAGCATGAGTTTGTCCAGGGCTGGAGTGGGGACGCTGGGGGAGGGCGTGAGTAGAGTGGTATCATTTTCTTCACTTGCCCAAAACGCCAGAGCAAGGCAATTCATAGTTTATTGTCTCATAGGATCCCTGGTGGTGCAATGATTAAGTGCTTCGCTGTTAACTGAAAGGTTGGAGGTTCAAATCCACCAAAGGGCTCTGCAGGAGAAAGACCTGGAAATGTGCGCTCTTAAAGACCCTCTCACTACCATCATGTTGATTCTGACTCATAGTGACTCCCATGGGATTTCTGAGGCTACAAGAGGAGGCTGTCTAGCTATCTCCTGCAGAGCGGCTAGTGGTTTCAAACTGCCAACCTTGTGGCTTAGAGCGTCATACATTACACACTATGCCACCAGGGCTTCCTCCATAAAGATTACAGCCTTCAAATCTTTATGGGCTAGTTCTCTGTCACATGGTGTTGCACTGAGTTGGAATTGACTTGATAGAGCCTCGCAGCAAGAGAATGCATTTGTTCATCCACTAGGAAGATAAGGTGTGAACGGTTCCTGTTTCTTCCTCTGCAGTAGGAAGAGTTCATAAGCACAGCTGAGCCCCCATAGCTGGAAGGTGCCGTGGGAAGTACTAGCTGGGAAGTCACTTCCTTCCTGGCCTTGATCCCAAGACTGAGTTTCTCACTGCCAGCCAGAGCCATTAGTTAGAGTACACCGAGGAAGTGCACACCAGTCAAAATAACTGTGCTCTTTTCTAACCAGCTCTTCTCATTCAGCAGCTGTGACTTTTATTTATGTTACTGGTTGGCAGATACTCACAGAAAATGAAATTTAGGCAATTAATGTAAAATGCCAGCTAAAGTCCTTGCCTAATCTGAAACATGACATGGATATCGTATGCTTCTTGTTGTTATTATTGTGTACCATTGAGTCTGAACCAACCTATAGCTGACCTTTCAGTGGGTTTTCAGAGCCAGTAAAAAAACACAGGAGAATATTGCATGTCCTCATGTGAAGCAGCTGGTGGATTCAAACCGCATACTTTTGGGTTGGTAGCACAGCTCCTTCCCACTAGGCCACCAAAACTCCCTACTGTGTGCTTAGATACTGTGATTCCAAATATGGGTGGAAAACCAGTCCCCATTACCAGAGAGTGAGAACACAGTTCCTATGATGATTATAACTGAAAATGGAATTATTTCACGGAAAAGCCATCTCAAGTACTGAAATCGTTTTGCTATAACCAGCCCTCTGCTCCGTTGCTTTTCACAGAGACTTTTCTTAAAAGTTGACTCATTTGTATCAGTCATTTGGTTTTGTTTGTTGAACAAAGTCTTTAGAGAAAAGGAGCACTTATCACACCACAAGCACAAAGCAGGTCAGGTATTTAGGGACTGTGGGTGGCAGCAGAAAGAGCAGAGATGATGAGAACTTTGGGGGGGCTGTTGCTTTCTAACCATACCTTGTTGGACCACACATTCCCAAAACTTCTCTCCTTGCCCTGTCTCTCCTGTTCCAGTCACTGCTAGATAAAAAGGCCAGTGGCTCGTAACCATCACAGCCAAGACTTCATGGGCACAGAGCTTGGTTGCCTAGAGATGATGCTTACTTGAGAAACATGCCTTGGTTGGTCCCTCCACTTGGGCAAAGCCAGCCTGGAAGCCTCATTGTGAGAAAAATGAGTGAGCGCAGCTTTCCAGGTCACCCTGAGAAGACCATCAGTGACACTGATCCCACCCATGTCAGTGGGAGACAGCCCACACAGCCCCCTTCCTGTGCAGCCAAGCTGAGCCGAGCTCGCCTGTGACCAGGGGTCGTTCGTCTGTCTGCACCTGAGTGAGATAGCGCCATGATTAATGAGAGGCTGATGAACAGGCCTGGAGCACTCTGCTTGAGCTCCTGGTTGAGAGCCAGAGTCCCTTCAGAGCCCATTAAATGTGAGTTCACGAGGCCGAGAAGGAGGAGATGCCAGATTCTTTATGAGTGATACAACATCCCCCCAATTTGCACAGAGCAGAGATGAAGGGCTGGGTGGAACGATCTCACCGTTTAAACCCTTCTCAGCATGCAGAGCTCACACAGACCACACTCCCATGTGCACAAGAACCAGTGTCTGAGTCACTCACCCTCGTTTCTTGTCTGGAGCCTCCATGGTCCCACCCTGAGCCTGCACCACTCCTGGCCCCAGCTCCCACAGCCACCACTCACCACCAGGCCTGGTTCATCCCTAAGGTTCCGCTGGAAGGGTTTTGTCTCTACAGTAATTCGTGGAAAAGAACAACCTTCTTCCCAAGGGAACGGTGCAGACTGTGGCCCTCTTAACCCATCAATGCATGAGGGACAAAGGCCGGTAAAAGGGAACTGCAAGTAAGGTTTGACGTAATCACTGTGATATACGTGCTGTATTACCCAATGTGCCTAGAAGACGCCCATGTCCTAGAGTAGGGAGCTCTGGTCGTCCAGTTTGTAGGGAATTGAGCTACTACCCCAAAGACCACACCTCTCTGGTGGTTTGAATCCACTGGTTCCAAGAAGGACAAACAGTCTCCTCCAGTGTGATTTATAGTCTTGCATTTGTAGATCAGCTAGAGTCAGTGCCAACTTGAGAGCCGTGATCGAGGGTCTTTGCAATGAGAAAAGCCCTCGATGAGATGTGCTGACACAATACCATGCCAGCCAGTGGGCTCAGACCTACCAAAGATGGCAAAGATGGTGCACGATATGCCTGTTCTAGACCGGGGCCTTCCTAGCAACGCCCGTGGTTGACCTGAGCTCGCCTTTTCTCTTGCAGACTACGATGTGTGCGCTGAGGCGCCCTGTGAGCAGCAATGCACCGACAACTTCGGCCGTGTGCTGTGCACCTGTTACCCAGGCTACCGATACGACCGCGAGAGGCACCGCAAGAGGGAGAAGCCCTACTGCCTGGGTGCGCGAGGGCGGCCTCCTGTCCCAGCTCTGAGGGCTCGGCCCTGGGCGATGGTTCCCTCCTGGACTGGCCGTACTTCATCATGACCAGCTCCCATAAGTGTTCTAATCTTAAATTCTTTCCCCTCCATCCCGAAAATTGTTGGGTAGATTGTATTTGGTGTTTTCCTAGGAACCACCACCTTTATCTGCTGATGATTAAGATCTCTTATATTCTAATAGAGAGCTCTGCTGGCCTGAGAGGAAGGGGTTTCACTGGCCACCCAAAGCCACCCGCTGCTCTTCAGGAGAAGGAGAGTCTCTTCCCATGTGATTTTCAGCCTCTGAAAATCCACTGGAGGGTCAATTACAAGTCAGTTCTGACTTGATGGCACACAGCAACAGCAACTATATACTGTGTATTATATATATATGTCTTCATCCAAACATATTTATATATTTAGTTGGACATGATGGCAAAGTTGGAAACCATTCATGATGATGGTTTAAACAATAGGATGAATGTAATTAATCTCACTGAACCACATGTGTGAAGACTGTGAAAAAGAGTTTTGAAGATTGTAAACATGGAGTTTTTAACCTATGAAAATAACTATGATTTTTAATAGTTTTAAATGTTTGTTTACTGTGAATATAACCATTACTTTTATAATAATTATTTCTTTAATAATTATTCTAATAATAGAGGGACAGC